AAAATCCAGTGGATGCACAAATTCACACTCTGGGAGAATAGGCTGATTCTCTTTTCCCAAGTATAGAGACTCGCTCTGTCTTAAGCTCCAAAACTTTGCTGTCGAAAACTGCAAAGAAAACAGGATAATTCCGTTAAATCTTTCTGCATGCAACAGATTGTTTCAGTTTAGAATCCTTTCAGTAAAATTGTCCCAACCAGCTCATTACACCAGTCACTTTTTAAAATCTTATCTAGGCTCTTCACAAAACCCCTTTGGATTCACGTCAACACCATTTTGATATCAATAGGGTGTTTTCACTGTAACAGTCTACTAGGACTTAGCAATCATTTATACCACTTTTCTTTTTGTCCCAAGCCAAAGTAGGTCTCTCTAGACAAGTGCACTCCGTATCGCTTAGTGATGATAGCCCATAATGTATCACTGCAGGCTCACCCATAAATAAATGAGTCGCATCCTGTCACCTTGTGTCCTGCTCCCCAGACTCAGTGGCACTGAATCAGTTAGATCCACCTCTGTCTCTAGAAATTACATTTCCCTGGGGCAAGCTGCTGTGAAGAGTGATTCTTTCCCCTCATGCGGTGCAGTCTGCATGTTGTCTACTCTCCACATTATATCTACAGTTGTAGTTCATGACCTAAATTGCTACGGGTCAGGTTTGTTTTGCCTCTTCTAAAACAAATGCATACAAAATTCACTGAGAGTTTGTTTGCTGAAGACTAATGGCTTTTCTTTTGTAATATTTATTCCTTTGTGATATTGACCTGTTTTGAGATGTCTGTAAAATATTTTTCTACTACCCTAAATAATAATTCCCAGAGTATTTACAAGGGCAATGATCAGCTTACAGTGGTTTTACTGTATTATTTTCAAACAGCTAGTAGAAACAGGTATCTAAAATGTAGCTGTCCAGAAAATTAAATAAGAAATAGTTTTAATTTATCGGAAGAATCTATAGGTAATATAGGGAACAGACTGCATTTCTATGATCCCATTGAGCTCAGAACTTGTACAGAACAATTCAATACAGGTGGCTCCATCATGAGGAAGTTTTTAATATGACATAAGCACTTGCAGAAAAAAAAATTCTGACATGGTTAGCTCAGTTGCAGTGAACTAATTTAAAAATACCACCTCCTAGCATGTGCTTTCTATTTTTCCATGTTAATTCTCTTGCCCATAACTGCATTGCTCAGGTTGAACTGGGCTGTGAAAATCAGGCTGATGTCTTCCTAAGGCTTCTTTACAGATTTGAGAAAGTTCCTAGCACTCTGCCAGCTCAGAGAAAATAGCCGGGTGAGGATCTTAGGTACCCCTTACTCATTACTATGGAGCACCAGCTAAACGTCTTTGTACGGTTTCTGCTTGCCCTTCTTATCTGTGGGCCCAGTGAAACATGGCACAGCCCTTTTTAAGGTGACTCTGAAGGGCTGGTGTTAGTGTTGTAAAATACTGTAGAAAGGTATACTTAATTTGCCTACCCCTCCCCCTCCATGCACAAATTGCATTTCTTGATGTCTTTGCCCTCTTGCAGAGGACTGTATCCCAATTTGGTAAATGAGCTCAGTGCTATGACTGAAGAAGGGCTGAGGAAAAACAGAAGCTATAACATCTTTTCCAGGTCAAACATAGGTCCATCTCTTGGCACAAAGGGACATATTTGTTGTGCTAAATGTACACCACCTTTGTATCACTTCTCCGTTCAGCTGAGAAACATCTTGGGAAACTTCTGTGCTTAATTTTGAACTTCAGCTATGTGAGCTTGATGTGCTTTCTGTTCTGGAAGCAACCATAACACCTAATTTTTCAGCAAATAAAGATTGGATGTGTTTCTAAAGAAGGTGCCTTATTTTAGTCAGAAGTCAAGGGAATTATTTTCAATATTACTCTTCTCTGGCCTGTGTTACAGAGGAGGTCAGATCAGAAACTTCATCCCTAACGATTATGAATTGCTGTCAAAATTTGGTACCAGTAATGAAACTGTCCTTTTAAGAATGCAAGTCGCAACCAAAAAATCTACGCAAAGCATGGTATTTTCAGATTATATAGATAAAAAAAATAAAGTTTTGACTCATTTGCACGGTGGAAATAGGAAAACTGTTTTCCATCTATGCTTCAAGTAATAATTGAAAACTAGAAGCATTGTGTAAGTTTTGCTAGTTTTCTGTATTGTCATGTTAGTGTTGACATGCGTAATGATGAATGTGGTTGCCCTAAGGATCATTATGTAATACACTGCAGGGTAGGGTGAGCTATGTGTGGTATTATACATACTCTAATTTCTCTTTGCATCTTCTTTGCATAGCTGTCCAACTCCAGGATGTGATGGTAGCGGTCATGTAACAGGAAACTATGCCTCACACCGCAGGTAAGAAACAACAGGAAGTCTAAAGCAGGAAATAGAGCTACTTTTAGCTATTGTCATCTTTGAACATTTTTATACTAACCATGGATAAGTATTCAAAACTAATTTGCAGAAAATAATCTGTACAGAAATGTGGCTGGTTTTCCTGGGTTTTATATTTTGTGAAGTCTGGGCTCAATAGACTGTTGGAGTTAAGCAGCATATGCTTACTGCTGTAGCTGCATGTCTTAGCTGAGACCTGTAAATAAGTCATTTAGTAAGGTTTTCATTTCCCTAAGTGTACAACCACTCTGTACACGATGCTGGTGTACGAGATTTTAACGAGGTTTCTGCAGATATCTCTATGAATGGCTTTGAAATTCATAGATCTCTCAATATAATCTGAGGATGCTAAATATTTTCCTCAGAGTCTGTCAACCTAGGGGTTGAAACTGCCCTTCATGTAGGCAACATAAAGGAAGGACTCTATGTATCACTGCCTCCCCATGCAAAGCTTTACAGGGGCTTAGAAACCTTTGGTCCTGATTGTATATGTTTCCAGTAATTTAAGAACTACAGCCTAATATTGGCTGCTCCTCCTTTGCCAAGAGCAAATATTTGAGAATCTCTCTTCTCCCATTCTAAGTCATAGATTGTGTGGAGGTTGATGTTTTAAGAAAAAAAATGTTCTGTTTTAGTAAAACATTTCACATCATTCTTTTTTCAGCGTTTCTGGGTGCCCATTAGCTGACAAGACATTAAAATCCCTTATGGCTGCTAACTCTCAGGAGCTTAAGTAAGTATTGATAATAGCACAAATGTTATTGTTATTTATCTTCATTCAACATGTTCCCCGCATTAATGCAGTTGGTCATTTGAATTGCTCTGAGTTATGTCAAACCTTTTTCCAAAATTTGAAGTGAATTGGTTTGAAAGCTTTTGAGTGAAATAGAGTTTATTTTTCTCCATTTGCCTTTCTTCATTTTTGCACCCCTTCATTTTCATGAATTAAGCAGGACCTGGGGGGAAACATTGTAAACACTAGGAGAGATGCTGCTCTCACAGTATTTCTGAATCAGAGAGAAATAGAAAATATCTAACATGTAAGACAGATCTGGCAAATAACTCAGTCTGATACAGTTAGAACAAATAAGAATTATTTAGTTAGAAATAAATCTAGTTAGAATAAATCTAAAAATGAGACCAGAACTCCTGCAAATCATTTTTTATCATTCACTACCATATACTATGAGTTTAATGTCACTGAAGCAGACATCAAGTCATATGATTTTGTGCTGGCATAATTCTCACCATGAAATGTCACTTACAAAAGGACTGTGCAGGCTCTGCTATATAGACAGATGTATAGGGACATATGAATATTTCAAAAATCTGTAGTCAAGAGAGGCACTGGCAACCAGTCATCTAGTTATTGAATTGGCTTTGTCAATAAGGATGTGGGGAAGAGGAAAGGATAATTAGAGTTCTTTCATAGCTTTCCCTCTGCAACTTGTAAATTGGATCCCATAATAGATGGCTTGGAAAAACTCGTGAATGCGTGTGAAAAGGGGAGAATCCTGTGACTATCCTTTCTGTCCTTTAGGTTCATCCCTAGTCCAGATAGAAGAAAATAAAGTCTGATCATGGCACTATTATGCTGTTCTAATGGTATTAATCGTAGGAATGACTACCTTTAGGCTTCACTCAGTGGTTTAGTCAGAAGCTAGCTTCTTCAGATCAAATGTTAGTGGTCTCATCTTCTAGTCCGACAACTTGAATTATAAATAAAACACTGAACTGATGGTGGCTATAGAGTTGAACCTGCTGGAGATGCAGCAAAATGGCCAGCAAAAAGAAAAGGCCATTTATACGGGCAACTGTTCAAAGCAGTTCCCAAAGCCGGTACGTAAACTGACACACTGGCACAATGCTTCAGTTTTTCCATCTTGGAGTCTCAAAGGTATAAAATTTAGGTTTAGTTTGTTTTAAAGAGAGCAGCACAAGAAGCAAGGAACTGACTTGCGAAAATGCTGACGAATTTGAAATCATTTGCTGAGTCATATATATTTGTCCCTGCTTTTGTTGGCTTTCTGCCATACGTAGACACTCACACAAATATTTTGAATAGTTGCTCCTCATGCAGCACCCCCCCCCCCCCCATATTCATGTGTGAATAAGGAAATTTGCATACCAATATGGTTATTTTTCCACTAAAGCTTCTAGAGTTTTGGTCATGCCATAAGGAAAGAGGAGCAACAGCATATGACTTAAATGACAAACCGCACACTGTACGCCATGTATAATAAGTGAGTTGTGAAAGACAAAGTCAAAGTTCATGAACATTTCACAGACAAAAATATGTTGCATAACGCACTTAGCATTTAATTTCAATTAACTAGAAAAAGAGCAAAAATCAAAATCTGTTCACAGACAATTTGCAATAGCAAAAAGGGCTAAATAAAAGTATTTTCCACAAACGTACCACCTTATTTTAGCTTCCTGCAAACATTGTTCAGGTGAAATTTTAAACAAACCTCTGCTTTTGATAAGCATTTGCTAAATGAAATCATACGTTGAAAACTGCAATCAAGTCTGCACTGGTATAGTACAGTGCTATCAATAGTTAATTTTACTATTGCTGTGCGAGCAGAGGGCATAAATGCTCATAGAATCAGGCCACGAAAGTACCCTCATGTAGTTAGGAATGAATATGAAAAAGCTGTGTATTTTTCCCAAATGTTATTCACGTCTAATTTGCCAGAATCAAGATACGATTTTGGCTTTAATTATGAAACTCTAAGCCAGCGAAGATACAAGGCTTCCATGTGATCTACAGTTTGGAAATAAGGAAGATATGTTCAGAAAGTGAGCCATTGAGTCAGATTCAATAAATTTTAATCTGAGGATTCTTGCTTGCACAGAGCAATATCTAAGGTGGTCAAATTAAAACATACTAAAGTTGATGATGACTCATTTTAAAGCTATAAGGGAGAATTATGACTGATTTATTTCATCAAAGAGCTGTTTATCAAGCCTTAAAGAATTTTAAAAGTGTACCTTAGAAAGATATTTACTTACAGTTCAGAAACTTTAAGGAATAGGTAGTAAGTCCTACCCTTAGACAAGTTGTTTCAGTGGTTATATGTCAATTTTAGGAGAGATTCTAGCAGTTCTTCTAGACAGGTTTCACACAACACATTGATACTGATACATATTCCATAGGCAGCATGACATATTTCAGTCAATAGTTTTCTCAGCTGACCTCTGTGGGTTTGCCTTAACTAAAGTTCATATCCAACCATCTCTGTGAGCTTTCCAGGGAGTAAAAGTACCAGAAATGTTCCTAGATCTGCAGCTCAGTGTATCAATTCTATGTGTAGCTGTAGTTCATTTACCTAAAGATAAAGCAGCCCTCTTGGAGAAGGGAACAAAATAGCAGTTACTTAATGCACAGTTATAAGAATTTCTGTGTGAAATCACAGAGAGATTTGTTCTTGGAAAACAAACTTGATGAATTGTAAAATAATCTGTGACCTACACCCACTTGAGCGTTGACATCTTTTAGCTTGAGCTCCTGAGGCCTCTGGCCCTCCAATGTAAGTTTGATTTTCTTGGCTCTGCACAGGAATCAAAACCAGAGGATGACTCCCTACATTGGGGCACTAGTCCAAACTCATCAGCCAGTTAAAAGCTGATGAAGATCCACAGTTTTATTGACTGTAAGGCAATACATTGTTGGTGTATCTTATATTGTGGAACTTCACAATCTGTACCAAGATATAACCAATATTCGGAAAACCCAACCCAGTGGTCAAGCTTAGGAGTTTTGCTAGTGAAGCTTCTTAATTTGTCAGTAGTCCACCTGAAATATCATCTTATAATTTCATCAGTATTGATAATATCTCAGCTTCAAATCTTTAATGACCTCAAGGACACCTTGGACTCTAACCTGATTGTGAAATCTAACTGCTGCCTGAATCTAACTGAAGTGTAAATAAAGATGGGGAGATTTCAATTTCGTTCAGTGCCTTTTTTAAGTCCATAACTCTCAGACTCATGATCTGAATGTCTCCCACAAAGAGCTCCTACTGAATTAAAATCCACGTCCAGTCTATGCGGACAGCTCTTCTATCTGTGATCATCTGATAAAACAAGTAGCCAAAATTAATACCGATAGTATTTGGCAGGTGTTCTGGATTTACTTGTGAGCATTCACTCTCTCCAAACATCTGCCCTTGCTGCCTGCTCCACATGACATTGTGCCCAGTCCTCGCCCCACACTCAGACAGGTCAACATTTAGCTCTACACTGTCGAGCATATCTGGCACTCTGCAACCCACACCTCTACCTTCACTGTCAGCGTGAGGCATGTCGTTCTGCCAAAATATTTTGTTCAGAAAATGTCATCATGAAATGTTTTGACATTATCTTTAAAAAAAAAAGTCTCCCCTTTCTTCAGTTGAAATTATTTGCTGAATTCTACTTGAATCAGTGAATAAATTTGGTCATGTCCAAAAGAAATCACATTTTTGACAAATTAATTGTTCACAGAAAAATAGTTTTAAATATTCTGTGAAGAGATACACCTGCACACTCAGATGTGATATTACAATTATATTTGTACGTGTTTTCCATGTTACCAACGACTAGATTAAATCACCCATCTCCTCACCTCAGGAAAGACTCAGTAACAACTGAGACCCTTAAGAGAGTGTTGAACAATGCAAGTTTCCTTAATGGTTCATTACAAGATTACTTGGCACAACTCTTTCTGTAATTCTGATTCTCTGTAAAAAATCACAGCATTGAAAAGGCCCGTAGGGATGCTTAGCATAAGAACTTTGTTCTGTATAATACAGAAATGGCTGGCACAACTTCTAAAGGTAAACATTTATTTTGTGCTGCTTTGTGTGCTGAGCTGCGTTTCTCTTCTCTTAAAAAAAACCCAACCCAAACCAAACCAAAAACCTACACAAGAAATACAATAGCCTTAAACGAAAAAAAACGAAAATACATCTGAACTTCTGAGATGGAAGGTGCTACCAGTAAGGTCCTGCTCCAAACCCAACAGAAGTCAGTGGAAAGACCTACTGACTCCAGTAGGCTTTTGGAGCACATTCTTCATGTACAACTAGCAAGTAAGAAGCCCACCCTCCCAGACCACTTGCAAAAACACACTAACAGGCAAATTTGTTTCTTTGCATTTTATGGATGTTTTAGTATTAAACATTCATACTTGAAAAGGCTTGTTTGTTGCACACTCACAGAGAAACCCCTTAACTATGAGACATAAGCATAACCCAATGGCCAAGCTGAATACCCAATTGAATCTAGCGCTAGAAAGATATGGTCCTGTTATATGCTTACAGTGCTAGAATTTAGAATTATTAAATTTAAATTCCAGGTATCATCTACTGATGCCCAAAAGTAAAAATGCTTCTCTGCTTCCATTTCCCCTTCTGTAAATACCGGCAAAGTGCTTATTTATATCTGTACGTGAAAATATCAGAAGTATAAACAACAAACACATAACAGTAAATTTACAAATAGATCTATATCAAGTTGCCTTTTTTTTTTGTAATGTTGATCCTGTACAAGGAAAAATGTTTGGTGCAAACAGTGTTATAAAGTAATTAAATCTGCACATCATATGCAATATATTTCACATTCCTTACTAAAACTCTGTTATAAAAGAAAAAAAAACCCAAAACATAAGAAAGGAGTCGGCTCGTTCTAAAAAAAAATCAGCAAGAACAAGTTTTAATTATTCAACAAAAGCTCTGCTGTTCTCTCTTCCACCCTAGACAAAATGTAGAATGTACATGTTATTTACTGTGTACCTTTGACGCCGTATTTTGTAAGCTCCCTGTATTATTCCATAGGTGCCCGACACCTGGCTGTGACGGCTCTGGCCACGTGACAGGGAACTACGCATCCCACAGAAGGTAAAAACCATTCCATCGCACGGGGTTGCAGCGCTTGGGGTTCTCAGCAAGCAGCAGCAGAAAGAGGTGGCTTTTATTCTGTGTGCTTCTTTCAGCTTATCTGGTTGTCCTCGTGCCAGGAAAGGAGGTATCAAAGTGACTCCTACCAAGGAAGAAAAAGAAGACCCTGAACTTAAGTGAGTACAAAAGCAGAGGTCTGCCACCAGTGAAGGGGGAAAAAAACCCGTAAGAGCTCAGGACTTGAGGCATCATAGGAGATACCCCAGTTAAGCTGAGCCACGTGAGGATATGGCCTAGAGCTGGAGCCGAACCAAGTGTTTCTGCTTCTAGCGAAGCTGGTGGAGTCCATCATCTTGGAGCTTGAACAGTGAGGAAGGACTGCTGTATCTGCTTGCATTGGTCCAATTATTTTAAACAGTGCTATGAAAGTGCCACTTGGTTGGAAAATTTGGCAAAATGAAGGAAAACAAATTATTTCTGCCTGTAGTGAAATCTTGACATATCAGCTAATTAAATCAGAGTCACACCTTAAAAATATGTCCCAGAGAACTTAAATGTATGTCTCATGTCTTTCCTCTATAAATAAATTAAAATTTCACTTAAAGTGAAAACTGGAAACTCAGCAGAGACTCACTACATTCCTGACTTGGACGCACATTCCATTAAAATCAGTAAATGATAATTGCCAGAATATAGATATGAAGATTTTGTTGCACACAATGTTGTTGTTAATACTTGCTAATGATACATGAGAGGCTGCATAACACTGACAGAGCAGTGCAAAATAATCCCAAACCTTTCTTTGCAAGTATTTGCATGAGACGATACAAGTTTTCCAGGTACAGGAACCCAGCCTCTGCTTCATGCCAGAAACCTAGAGAGGAGAGAATGTTCACTTTCCATACACTTGTAGAAGTGTGATTTCTTGCCTGTGATAGAATTTCAATTTTCTTTTCTGGTAAAATACTATCTAAATGAATGTTTTAGTTTCTTAGGCTCTATGACTGTATTTTAAATTGCCTAATCTTAAGATCAGCTGAACCCCCATAACTCAGCTTGACATGAATTGGATGCTCAGCTAGTGTGCCTCTGGGGACCGAGTCTTAATCCATTAATGCGAAGTGGCACAGGCAGCTGGAATGCTTTTCTCAGACTTTCTTGAGACTGTCTTCGCCTGCTCTCTCCAGTGAAAACAGGGGTTCTTTTGCTGTGTTTCTGTAGATGTCCAGTGATAGGCTGTGATGGCCAAGGTCACATATCAGGTAAATACACTTCTCATCGCACTGCTTCTGGTTGTCCTTTGGCTGCCAAGAGACAGAAGGAGAGTCCCGTCAATGGGTCTTCACTATCCTGGAAACTGAACAAACAAGAGCTGCCACACTGTCCTTTGCCAGGCTGCAACGGGCTGGGTCATGTTAATAATGTTTTTGTCACCCACAGAAGGTATAACTTTGTGTTTTCTCTTTTATTTTTCCTTAACATTCCACTGTTGAATTGGCAACATGCGAGGTTACAGTCTGAATAAATTGTGCTCAAGTCTTTTAAGTAACAACATAGTTTACATTGCAGTTGAAGTAATATGGATCAAAATAACTTTCAGAGAGTTGGGATCAATTTTTTACTCTTTTTCTATGTTCCCATTGCAGTGTGACTTTCCAAGGTCTTTTCTTCAGACCAGCACAGTTTCTATAAGGTTTAAAATTTAATAGAGTTCTTTCCTAGGCAAATATGGAGCTCTATCTGTATATCTTTTATGGAAAATGCAAATACCACTGAAATGTCACCAGAAAAGATTTAGCAAGAGCAATGGCTGCATTCGTTTCATCCTTCTACCAGTGGAAAAGCTGTTTTCATAAACTTTACATTTAAATAGCTAGAACCACACAAAAAAGTAAACATGTAGGACTCATACGGATTACATAAGTTTGAAGTTATAACAATCTGACAAAGAAAAATATCCTTACAAAGCAGGAATCACACATATAACCAGTAACAATAAACACTATGATTTTACATATCACTGTCAAAACACTAGTATAATTTGACCACGTTCAATCAATATTACTCAAAGAATCTGGCTATAGAATCTGAATTAATACCTGGTAAGGTTTGGTCTTCTGTCTGTAATAGGAATTAAGTCTATATTCTGTACCTTCTTTCCTTCTAACACTCTGAACCAACTTCTCCAATACAAGAATGTCCAAGGTGACTTGAACAAATTCAGTCAGAGTCCAGTGTTATCCTAACTTTATGATCTACGTCCCATATTAAAGTCTTTACATTAGGACACCACTGTAAATTTGGGCTGATTAAGTGAATAACATAAATAGTATGTTAGCTGGTTGCAGCTCATACTACAGATGATTTCTGTCCTGCATAAGGCTGGATGACATTCAAGGTCATCTTAGTTAAAATGGGGTAGTAAATATAGCTTTGTGATATGATATCCTTTCCTAGGACATTTGAAACCTAACAAGTAACCCATGGCTTTGACACATTCTTCCAGTTAGTTACCTGCTCTGGGCAGAGATACTAAGCAGCATTTTAGAACTGGAGAACTAGCATCTTTCCCTTTTAGCTCGCAAAAGCTTTTTTTTTTTTTTTTCCTATGTGGAAGCACCATGTCTGCTAGGATTTTTGTTTTTAATTTTCACACACACAAAAATCAACCGTTTTTCTGTGGAACAAAATTTTCCTTCACTCCTTACTTGGCTACATCTGAATACAAATCCTTCTGCCAGTTCTTCAGCATATGGGTATTTCTTCTTTGTTATTTATAAAGATAGTATTAAGACAGTGCAATTCATCTTAGCCCTTTAGTGGGCAATAAAAATTGCCTCAGATAATTACGAGCTGATGAAATTGTAAGCTTTGAAATAGCAAAACGTAATTTAATGTGAACAGTAGTTAAAAAGCAAACTGACTATATAATAGAACCATTCAAAAAAGCTATTACAGTCTATAGGGCATATCCAGAGTTATTATTGTATTGATCATTGTTATGTATCAACAAAATGATACAATAGTTGTGCACCGTGGAAATCATTCCATTAACTAATTTTTTTTTAGGATAGTAAACTTGCCATTTTAAAGGACCATACTGCCACTCTCCTCTGGAGCACAAGCCCTCAATAAAAACAATAGAGAGTTTTTATTTATAAGTGTTGGAACGTCAAGAATTCTGTAAATGCATCTTCACATAACTTAACAGTAGCTGCCACTGCTATTTCGATTATTCTGAAATATGCTTAAGAGTTGTTTACTTATAGGTTGAGATTTCTGTGCCAATTTTCAAGCTGGAATATACAGTTAAATGGCTCTTTACGAGTTATGTCATTCCCCGAAGCTATGCTATAATGGAGATACTGATGTGACCTTAGGTACAGAGGTCTATCCAAGTGCATGACAATATTGCCTGAAAGGATTGTTGCCATTTTCAAGTGGGTGCTAATGTTTTTTTTCCTATCCGTTTCAGCCTGTCTGGTTGTCCTCTGAATGCACAAGCCATAAAAAAGGGCAAAATTTCGGAAGAATTAATGACTATCAAGCTTAAAGCAAGTGGTGGTAAGGAGATTTGTAAAAGACGATGACATTTACTTAGATAGAAGGGCCCTGACTCCCATTTATACTTATGCCCCATTATGCCATTCTGGCATTAATTCTCACTCCTTTCAGTTGTCTCTAGCACTAACAAATCTTGAATAACAAAAATCTTTGCGTGAGAGATTATAAAATCATTCTCATTTACATCATGATAACTCAATATTGAGGGTATGCTCTCATCTTGTCTAAGAGCACTATTTTTTGATTTGGAGATGCTTTCAATATTGTTATTACTAATACATTATTAGTTACAGATCAAGAGGACTTAGCTAGCTGATGACTAAGGTAAGAAGGGATAAATATTGTGTGCAGAAATTGACTCCTTTCCGTAACTTGAATACTACATGGTTTGGTATCTGTGCAGACAATTTTACTAACCCAAGTGTAAAGGAATGATTACCGAGTAGTTATAGGGGCAATATATAGGAGTCTCCTTTCTTATACACTATGCTTTAGAAAGTTGGGCATTGAGCCAGGATTCAGTGAACTCAGTCTTTATGCCTCCGGCTGCTGAGCAAAACAGTTGCGTTACATTGGGCAAATGAGTTTACTTCTATGTGTCCATGTTTTCAGCGGGGCAGGGACTGCTGCTTACAGATTTCCCAAGCTGGCTCCCCAGTAGACTCAGTCCAGGGCTCTAGGTTTTAAAGCTGTAACGACAACAGTGGCACAAATCTCTAGGCAGAGTTGGTCTCAGAGTGATACTAAGCAGAAAAAGGGACATGTATTGCCAGCAGCTGTAGCTGCTCAGTATTTTTCAGGACAAGGCTTTCGTTAAAGACCTGAAGTTTTTTTCTTTGCCATCTAACTTGTGGGGATGTAAAAGTCTTCCTTCCTTTTTTTTCTGTAATGCTTGTTAGCTTCCTGACAATTTCCCTTTTGTTGTTATTTAAATTTCACTATTTATCACATGTAACTAAGGTTGTGCTTCTTGAAGTTATTCTGCACAGAGATTTGCCCCCACAGAACTTCTTGCAAGATCAGAAGCAGGTACAGATGAGCTTACTAAAGTCAGCAATTATACTAGCGGAGATGTCACCCTGGGGTGTTCCCTACAAAGCGAAGGCTTGCTATTATGTTTCTTTTAAAATGAAAAAAAACGTTGTAAATACCTTCTCATTTTTATGATAAACTTTCCGCTTTCTGGGCAATTTTTCCTTTCTGTACCCTCCAGCTTGTAGTTGCATGTCGCACTGGAAAAAAAGAATTGTGAAACACAAAGGCTCAGAAAGCCCCTACTATGTTTCAGCTCATATAGATGTTTTACAGCTAGGAAACAATTTTGACAGTAAAAGCAAAGTAAGAGGCAATTTAAGGATCAATCATTTGATCAAAAGCTTGTTATCTTCCTCTTGTTCAGTAACAAGTAACTCAGCTTGTTACTCATACATCCATTTACATGTGGACACTTTAAATCTGATATTGGTATTTTCAACTATTTGCAGGTATTGAGAGTGATGAAGAAATCAGACACTTGGATGAGGAAATAAAAGAACTGAATGAATCCAATCTTAAAATTGAAGCTGACATGATGAAACTTCAAACCCAGGTATGACATCAACGTGAAAGTGTTACCTTTTCTTATGCTATGTTTAAGCACAATAAATAAATTAAATGCTATGTAAATGCTATGTTTAAGCACAGTAAGTCTCCTGTGCACTTGTTTTCCCATCACTCTGTGACACTTGAAAGTACCAAAATCCTACATGCTTTTTTGTCAATTTTTTGTTTGGTTTTGTTTGGGGTTTTTTGGTTTGTTTGTTTGTTTGTTTTTTCCTGTAAATAAGCAGCAGATTCCTGGGTATTGTCTTAAAGATCTGGTAAATGACAAATTCAGGGCACTTTGGACCTAATCTTGGCAAGCAGAAAAACTATATTTACCAAACAAAACATTCATTTTCCTTTGTTGACCAAACCTCTGTTGACCAAACCGTGCAGAATCCCATGACTGTGTTTTTAAGGGAGGATATTACCTCTTGCCAGCACACTCTAACTCTTAATGCGAGTTGCCTTTGTTCTTATGTGTACCTAAGCAAATCTCTCTAGTTCAGTGCACCCACTGTCAAATAGTTTGAATTTTGCCTCCAGGCAACACCTGGTAAAGAACAGATGCCTTTTGCTAATTTGTGTAGCAGATGAGTTTGACAGGAAGTATGGAAAAGAGTAATTTTCTTTCATCCTTTTGTATACTGGAGAGATTAAATTGGCTTTAAGATGCTGATTGTGGTTCTGTGGAGTGAGCTGAATACGTTCATCACTATATGCACCTGGGAGTTCACCTGGGCAGACTAGGTAAAAGCAAGAGCAGAAGCTTGCTCAATATTTTAGGAATAAGAGTTTAAGAAAAAAGTTTCTAAATGAGATCTGGGAACTGAATATAGGTCTAAACTGATCTAAAACAGAGTGCAACCATACCCTTCTGTATTTGTACCGCAGTGGAATGTATGGTGTTGATTCATGCTGCTTTTGTAATAACCACTGCGTGTATGGTCTAAATAAGGGAGAAGTTTATGCCACCTATGCTGGATCTAAATGATCTGGCTTCACCCTGCAAAGGTTGTGGGGATATCCATCCCAAATTGCACTGCAGTGAGGGGGGAGTGGTGCTGGCATTCAGTGTCTCGGGACACTTATTCCAGTCCTCTCTGGCGATCACTGTGCCTGAACTGAACTACAGCTGAAGCAACACGTCCCCTACATGGCTTGCTCTATCTCCTTTTAATCTAGCCCGGCCAGGTGTTAGGCTGCTGCAAACACCCTCCAGAGGAGAGGTTGTAGTGAGTCGCAGGCAGGCAAAAAAGAGTTCCTCCACCTGGGGACAGTTTTGATGTGTGACATTGTGTGAGGAAGGGAAGTAAAGCGGTCACAGCAAGAAACATCTAAGTAGTGCAGAGATGCATATCCTGAGGAGGAGAGGGCAGGCATAACAGCCGCAGACGTGACTCCATCGCTCTGTGCCTTGCAGAGCCCTGGCCAGGCACAGGGGTGGCAGCCCTTGGTTCTGCCCTGCCCGCTGCCCCGCTGCCCGCTGCGGGGCGAGGAGCCATTGCTGCCTTCGGTTTTTCAGGACTGCTTTTGACATATAAGCCTTCAGAGCTGAGTACATTCCCAGCGCTCTCATGCAGAAATGATACTAGTTTGCTACCTTGGATGCTTTTTCCTGCTCTTTCCAAACCCCTCGTTTCCATCCTGTTGATCGGAGATCATCTTTGTGATGATCGTTGTGCGCTCAACTTGTTGTGCAGTTTCCTTTCCTTCTATTTTTCTTTTATTGTTTCCAGTGCCAGCCCTGTTGCTAATCCCAGCCAGCCCACAGCTCTACCCTCCACCCAGGAGCGGGGCAGGAAAATAGCACAATAGCTAATACCTCTGCCCTTGCTATTGTGGTCGATCAGCAGGGATGCTGTAAGAGCAGGACAGCAATGTAAACATCAGCCTCCTTTCTCCTTCCCTCCGCCAGCCCTGCAGCCACACTCTCCATCCCAGCTCCACACTGACCTTCCCCCCAGAGCTCAATTCCCTCCTCCCGCGGCGGGGCACCCTCCAGCACCTCGCTGCCACAAGGTTTCTCTGTGAACCAGCAGCAAAGTCCATTGGTTCAGAGCGAATACAACCTCTTCCTTGCTCTGAATATTGCATGGAGAAGTTATGTCTATCCTAAAAAAAATACCTGAGTTTCAGCTCCATCGTGGCCCCTCTCATAATCCCGTGACTGCCATTTTGAGTTCAAACTGCAGTTACAACGCTGCCAAGGGTCTGCCTGTTTGTGTGTTTGTGCCTGCTTGTGTCTTTTAGATCACATCTATGGAAAGCAATTTGAAAACAATAGAAGAAGAGAACAAACTCATAGAGCAGAACAACGAGAGCCTGTTGAAGGAGTTGGCTGGCTTAAGCCAAGCCCTCATCTCCAGCCTTGCTGACATTCAGCTTCCACAGATGGTAAGACCACAGCCAGCAGCTTCGCACCTTCCTTGAGACTGTTTTGCCAGCACTTGAAGCAGATGAGCAAGCTCAGGGACCAGCAGGAGCTGCATTAGCAGAGAGCTCTTTTAGCCTCATTTACTTTGCAGAGACGCTGGATCATGAAATCTGTGTGATAGCAGGCGCGGTTGCTTCCAGGACTGAGCCAGCCCTGGTATCCCTGCCCTGTATTGCCCTGTGCAGGACAGGCTTTTCCCTATCTGAATATCCACCCTGCACAAAGAGTCAAAACTTCACACCGAGAATCCTTATTTGCTCTGCTCCTAGATCAGAACTTTAACCTGTTTCATACAGGCGATTTTTCTGGAGCCAACAAAGCTCTACCTTCTCAAAAAGTCGGCCTCCTTGATGTCTTACTTGCAAACGCAGGCCAAACCCACAAAGGTATTCGGGTCTCCTTTGCCAACCTCAAGAGTGCCGCTGGGAGGTTAGGTGAGGACAGTTACGGGGATGTCAGCCACAATCCTAGAGCCAAACAGGACACAATAAAAAAGCAAGTTACACTGACAATATCTCCAACCCCTTTCTTGCTTGGAGAGTGTGTGGTTCCCCCAGCAGATGCAACTCCCTTCGTTTCTACAACCCCTCCATTAATTTGGGTGGCTGCCCTGTTTACGACTTCTCCCCAGTTGCCATATTGCTGCTTTTCCATGCTTTGGGGTTGGGTGTTTGGGGGTTTTTTGGTCTTAATTTCCTCTCCTACAATTATAATCTGTTTTGTCTTCATTTAGGGGCCAATCAGTGAGCAGAATTTCGAAGCATATGTAAATACACTCACAGACATGTACAGCAATCTGGAACGGGACTATTCCCCCGAATGCAAAGCTCTGCTGGAAAGTATCAAACAGGCAGTGAAGGGCATCCATGTGTAGGATGTGAAAGCTGCTGGGCAACAGAAATTACTTAACAGCAGTAAACTCCAGATGGATCTGTTAGGAGTTCATGTACTGCTAAGGGGTGTAGGTTGCCATGCTGCATTTACAATTGCAACATTGCACTAATTTTTTTCCCAGCTGACATAAAAAAAAGAATAAAACCACAACAGACTATTTGTATTAACAGCAATGCACTCTGTTAGTATATTGTATTTATTTCAGTACAATTTCTTTTTTTTTCTTCTTTTGCACTCAGTTTTTGTAAAGTGAATGTAAAAAGTGTGTGCGACTATTTTTTATATTTTTTATTTATTTCTAATCAAAGAGTTGTTTTTTTTATCTTTTAACAGCATTTTTGCGGCCTGCCATATTTTTACAAATGTGCTTATTAATTTATTTTCCAACGGGATTTTAAATAGACTGAAAAGTTATACTGTAAATTAAATAACTTGCTGGGTTTGTACAGGAAGAAAAAAAAACCTATGAAAGTAACAAATGACTGAACCGTGGTTCTAGTTTTATTTTCCTCACATCCTGCTTTTTTATAATGGCTTTTTATCAGAGATGGGTTTGCGGTAACATGAGATGTGAAGATGCATGGAATGAGAAGATAAATGGTGCCCACTAGTGGGGAACCTGGGCTCTTAAAAGCACAGTATGCTGGAAAACAGTGTGTTAAAGAATACGTTAGCAATAATGAAATATAGCAATCAGCAAAGCACTTGACTTGGCTGTGTGATTTAGCCTATGCGAATGATTATTTAAAATGTTTCAAGAGAACTCCAGATTTATTTTACCACTGCAGTTTTTTTTCAGAGTTAGCTCATGGCGGGAAATGACAATTATCTCTAAACAAGAAGGGTAATTTGATAGCACTGGTACTTTTTTAGTACGAGATGCTGAGGTTTTAACCAAGTGACCAGTATTGCTATGGATTTGGATTTGAAAAACGCAAACGCATCCCAAGCCGAAGGCTTTGTACATAATGAATCGAACACATCTCCCCTGAAATGGCATTTAATACTGGTTTGAACTTAACGGCAGCTGAGAAGGCAGCGGTCTGGAGAGGAATAATACCACTCCAGCGCAACGGTGGTTGCTTTTCTCTTTGAACGAACGGTAGCAACACCGTGACTGGTTTCTCCCATCCTTATTCACTAAGACTAGGCTGATACTGAACTTGTTACCAGTCTTTCGGTAGGGTACCAAGTGCTACAGAGCATACAGACAGACGGAGGTGCGGACAGACAAGCACTTGCGTGGCGGTGCTGGCGTGTGCCTCGGTATCTGGTTAGCCTGGGTGTGGAACTTCTGAATCCGTCAGAAAGTAGCGGTTGCTATAACAGAGGCAATGTCTATTTCAGGGATTGTAAGTAATTAAGCGTTGTTTCAAAAGTTTTTTTTATATTTATTTTTTTTAAGAAAAAGGTATAAACAACCAGCTAAACTGCCTTTTTTGTATGCACACACACCTCACGTGCATATGTGCCTCAGTGTAAATGTATACATGGATCTAGCGTGTGTTTCATTTTTCCGTGCTATAATGAAAGTGTTTATTTTTATTAGCCTCATTTATATTTAGATTGAATATAATGGCATTCACAGGCTTGACATATACGATTATATTATTACTGTTCCTGCACAAAAGTACTGTTCAAAAGTGATTCAACTCTCATGCACTGTGGTCACTGTTCTGCATTAGGTGGGGCTTGCTTTTTGTTTGAGGGTTGATTCAACTCTCCGATCTTAGTTTAGACAGGGGAAAATGTATGTTCTTAGGAGCTGTGTTTATTTTTAAATCGATTTTTCAAAAGCTACCATATGTGCTGTCTAATATAAATAGGAGGACACCAAACAAAAATTTGCTATTATTGTCCTTGCTAAAAAAACAAAAAGCAAACATTTGTTATACTTGTTAAATGCATACAAAATGAGTTCACTCATTACAAAGACTAAAATTTAATTTACTAAATATTTTAACAAATTTGTTATATATTTTATTTAAGTAAAAAAAATCTCTTACTGACCTATGTATTTATTATTATGATTTACTATGGCTTCAGGTTAATTTATCTGTGTTTGGTTGTTTGCTCAGGATGTTCTGTGAAGTATGTTTGTATTTATTTGCCTCCCTTGTACTTGATGTGTTTTGTAATGTGCACTGATTTTTTTTTCTTTTTGTTTTTCTTTTTTTGTGTTTAAATGCATTGATGAGCTATACTGTAAATTAGACCTTTTGTAAAGAGCAATGATGTATGCATTTTTTAATTTGAAGTAGTTTGTATACTGTTTCTTCATACAATTAATATTTCTTACATCAAAACAACAAAATTGTGTTCTGTGCTGTACATTTGGTGTATGGTAGGAAATAAAATTGATAATGAAACATTGCAGCAAGTTTGTTGGTTTTTTTAGCCTCTAGATGCCGACTTGTATTACACTTTCTTAACTGCACCTGGCACTATACAATGTGTCAGATGTTTTACTTACTTTGTGTACAAAATGTGTCATCCCTGTAAGTAAATTTCTGGTATAAATAATTTAATTAGTGTTTTACTTTGTCAATTTGAAATAAGGAGGAGAAAAATGGAACTGCTGAAAAGGTCCTTTTCACTTCTGAAGGGGAAAGAAAATCAAGAAAATAATCACCACATTATTTAATGCATTCTTTTCTTGGCAGTTTTAGACTTCATTTATACTGATAAAGTACAGGATTTGTGCTGACCTTTAACAGCTGCTAAATGATGTTTAAACATAAAAGCCATTGTAAAGTTTCCAGCAGTTCGGAACCGCCCACTGTTCCAGTGCAATTTTCTGCTGAGATTTGCAGTGCTTAGATGTTGCACAAATAAAAATCTGCTGGTTTTAGAAAGACAATATTTCCAGTATCTAATGGACTTTCTTTTTTCACTGCTCATTGTGGCGAAAACAGGCCACGTTTATTTAGGATGCACGCTAATGGCTTCAGGAGCATTTCTTGTCTCAGACTCCAACTTCCCATGGATAGACCAAGAATAAATTTCATTTAGAAAATAAGGTAAATTTAAAGCCCATAAAGCAGCTGGTAATTATTTATTTAAATAGACACAGTTAGATAAACAAAATGGACTCTGACACTAGAAAAACTGACATGTCCTGCATTTAAATAGAGCAGAGGTTCAAAATTCGGATCATGACATGAATCTTGGATACTCACAAATCTTGCTGAGTTTGGAGCTGTAGAGTCAGCAAAGAACTGGGATGGAGACAGACCTGTCCTGGCAAGCTCTGCTCTGCTGGAGTTCAGGGTTTTCTTTGCTCTAGGACACTTATCCAAGGACAGCATGAACTGGTTCTTAAGCAATTAATAATTACTTAAGTAGTATTCTTAATGAATATAAAATAATATGTTTTCAGGGTCCCTGCTGTTTAACTTCAGCTGTAGACCTTCAGGTCAGCAGGTGCTAATGGGATAGTCTCTTCTCACACATCACAGATGAAGCAGAAACAGGTCTCCCTTAGCAAGGTGCCTTAATGCTAAACAGATAAAGACTGAGGCCAACATTTTGATTTTGGCTGAGCGCCTAAATTCAACTTACAAATTTAGAAGGCCTTATTGTCAGACAGGCAGCTCCTCACAGCTCATTTTTTAAAGATCTATACTAATGCTGATTATCTGCTGTTTGCAAGATCGGGGGAGGGCAGTGGTATAAGGATGTTAGACTCTACATACACCTAAGAAAACAATGCTTTATTCTCAAATGTTTCCAGCAATCTGAGACAGGGACTGTGAGCAAAGAAACAGTTTTCCTACTGGTTTTGGATAGGAAATATGATATCCACAGTTAATTGATTAAATTATTATTACCTAAAGACTGTTCCTGCATTCATCTTTAAACAACTTGCTCTGATAATGTTTATTTCAGTGCTGAAATGATGGTCTTTCTCCATTAAAAAAGAATAGTGTAAACAGTTAAGCCATATTCATTAGTAAACAAACATAAGCCATGGGGAGGGGGAAAAAACCAAAACAACAGAAAACATTGTGCTTGAAATAACCTTTCAAACCATTTCCATCTTCTGAAGTTTCCATTTTTAATAAGCGTTCTGCATCTGTACCTTTAGAAGAGGGGAAAGTGCTTAATTCAGTAAAAATATATAAATTCCATTGATTGCATTAACTTGAATGGAATTGAAGCTTTAAATGTCAAAGGGAAGGAAGGGGAGCAAGAACAGTCAACATTTGCTGTCCTATCAGATCAGGAAGCCTATCCTGTCTCTTAATTAATCATGATGAAGGCTTTTGAGTTTACGGTGTAGAAAACAGATTCTGTTTTCTACTGCAATCTTATTTCTATTTACTAATTAAGCACCTCTTCTTTCCTGCTGGCTTAGTGTAGCTATCGAATTATGTCGTGGCTTTTCCACTCTTAGCCCCTTCATCCTACTCATATTGTACTTTTTTTTTCTTTTCTTTTTTTTTATAAAGCACAGGATTTCTTGATGGGAACTAGTTATCATGCAATGACGCAGAGTTATGACAGAAGTCATCCCCTTTCTTTCCTCCCGTGTTCCTTCAGTGCTATATATTCTACCTGTCTTGGCATTTCTGCTATGCTTACAGATTCTTTATGATTTATGCAGCTGTATAACTTGGATGCTGCTAGGAGATTTGCACCAGACAAAGTCCTTTGTGCATCTCGCTCAGGATACTGTGGGATGGTAGAACTCCATTTAGCTTTTCTGTAATGTAGGACAGTGACCTAGTTTTAGTGCCTTTCAATATCTCATTCTGGCTTGGTTTTCTTCTCTCTCTTTTGCTCTAGTAAGTCTTAGACAGCCAAGCTTACACATAATTTCATCAAGGATTAGTCTGATTTCCTGTCTGACTTCATGGTACAAATTGGTTCAACTGCATTTCATTCTTAACGAATGTTTCCAGGGACATTGTCCGAGTAAATCTCAGGACTTTTCAGTTACGTGATAACACTTACTATTTAGGTTGCTGCTATCTGCTCCTAAAACTGTTACTGCACATGATTTTTCCAAACCAGCTTTTGATGCCTACTACCAGATTTTGGTGCCCAGCTT